TTTTGGAGCAACACACAGGGAGCGATTCTACTGTTTCCTGAGATACCTGTCAAGTTCCGAACGCTGCCTACAAAGGGTTGAAGACCACAATGTCAAGCTTCCCAATAGCGCTTTGCTACGATCCTAATGAGCAACCTGGCACGTGAAAGCGGCCGCGACCTTCCGTGCAACCGCTCAGGGCCCTGCAAGGCAGGGCGGGAAGGGGGTTTGGAAGCCGAGGGCAAGGGTTGTACCAGAAAACCGCTGGCCCATCTGCCCATCCTGGGGATCGAGGCGATTCTCGCCTACCAAAGGCTGGCATGCTAATATCAGAGGCCGCCGGCCGTTCGGCGCGCGAGGATCGACTCGATCCCTGAGGTGGGCAGATGGGCCAAATGCAAATTCAGCAAATCGCCAGATTTGACTTCACACTCAGCCGCTTCGCACAGTCAATGCACAAGTCTTTGCACTGGTTAGTGCACCAATTTGTGCACTCATTAGTGTGCTTGACTTACTCTTAAGATTAGTGAATCCTAGTGATTGAGCTTCATCTCGAATGAACATATTGAACTCATTTCAACTCTTCCCACTCAGCCCCATTTCAAGGCCTCAAGGCCATTTCCACTTTGGCACCAGCACAATATACACCTGTGGTGCCTCACAGGCCTCACAAGGACCTGTGGGTAGTCGGGCTGTCTACACAGCGCCATGCCGCCGGGTTAATCAGAGGACCTAATGTGCGCATCGTGCGTTCATGTCCAGCCTTGTGGCGAATACGCAATAAAATGGCAATATGGAATGACCCTGAAGCCCTTTCAACAGAGTGTAGGATGGAATTCCTGTGCCAGGAGTGCAGTCTCTGTGCTACAGACTCTCTGTACTACGTAATAGCACACGGATCCGTCTGCAGATAGTAGTATACGGATCCGTATACGGATAGTTTAGTTCGGGTCCGGAACTGGACCAGTCGCGCATCTGCCAGGCAGGTTGCCTTGTGCGGGCAACGTGAGTCGTACTTTCGCGCAACGTAATAAAATAGTAGAACAGTTTTTGTGCAACAGAAAGGAAAAAAATACATAAATAGCAGAGCAGCAACAAATAGCAGCACAGAAGTACATAGTTGGGATAAAATAGTTGGGATAAAATACCAGGCAACATACCACTCTGAAGCACTGCAACGGTCGTCGTGTGCCGGAAAGAGAGCCCAACGTCAACGCAATAGAGGAATGCAACTTCTGTGCGTCCCCAACCATCCCTGATTTTTTCCAGTTCCTGCCAAATGGCTAAGGACTCAAAAATCGAGGTATACTGTTAAGGGCGGCGGTCCATTCAGACCGTCATCCCCGGAGATAGCGCAGTTGAATCACACCTGGACGGGCAGATGAGCCAAACAGCCCCACTTCACACGATCGGCAACCGCGTAATGCCCCACGGGCCATATTCCCATTAAACAACCACGTGGCGCCTCCACGCGCCCCTCCTGGTTCTGTCTCACTGAGGCCCGTGGCACACGCCAGGCGGGCAGCTCCTAAGCAAACGCACGCGTCCATCGGCAGTTTGGGTGCTCCTCAGTGTTCCAAGGCACTTTGCAGGCGTGTCCAACTCATGTGTCCCCGTGTGATGCGTTGCCACATACTTGCTTTGTGCTCAGCATATTTACGGTGTATATTTACCGTATCTTGGTGGACTCTTTAGGCGCATGATGAGGCTGCCTTAGTCTGTGTTTGTCACAGAAGCCACCTCTCTGCGTTCTGAGTGCCTTGAGTTCGCAATACTAGAAAAATTAGGTAGCACGCCTGATTGACGACTTGGGTTTTTTTCCCGCGTCATTGAGCGCCAGCCTGCTGGATGGCAATTAGTGTGGCGAAGGTGCTGAGGTTGTTGACATCCCCTCTGCATCATATCTGAGCCTCACGAGTCGGCAGCTGAGTGACATCATTAATTTGCTGAACTTTCTTATGAAACTCATTTATTGCCGACCGTATCAATATGAATTCGACGCAAAGCGGTCATGATACATTGTCGCAACGCTCTGTACTACCACAGTTGGAACAGGGCAAAAGCGGCGATATGCACATCCAGGATATGTAATGAAAAGTGCTAGCCTTTCACTTCAAATGGGACACCCATGTGTACAACGAGATATCTTCTGCCATATCCAGGGATGTAGAACATTTTGCGATAAACTTCATCAGACTTTGCGCATTTGGTTCACTGGAGTTTCGCTGACTTATCACATGGGTGCCCTGATGACTCGATGGGCGTCGAATACATGTGCCACAGAATTTCGCTGACTTATCACATAAGTGCTCTCATGGCATGATAGGAGTCGCACACATTCACTTCACATGACTGGGCTCAATTACCACATGGGTGCTCTCATGGCATGGCAGGAGTCTCACACATTTGCTTCCCAGAACTTCGCTGACTTATCACATGGGTGCTCCCATGGCATGACAGGAGTCTCACACTTTGTTCGCGTAATTTTGCTGAGTTGCCATATGGGTGCCCTCATGACATAATGGGAGTCACTCTCGAAATCCCGTGAAGCGATCTGGCAGGGCCTCTCATCAGACGGAGGCCATCACGACGCGGTGGGCTTCGTCTCCGCTCTCGGTTGTGCTGTGCCCCCGCCCAGTGCAGCAGAACGTCTTTACATAAGCGTTGCTACCGTCGTCCAGCCCGCAAGCTATGCCCCAGGAAGCGCTCCGCAGTGCATCGGTCATGGGATCTTGTGCCCGGCGGGACGGTCGCGGCAAGTCGTACAAAGCTCCCTTCCCCGCCACTCCGCCAGCAGGCTAACCTCGAGGCCTCCCCTCCCGTGGTGCCGTGCGCCTTACCGTACCTTGTCCGTAGCCTGTTCGCGACTGTTGCGGCACCGTTACTGACGGTGGCCTAATCTCTCTGTGCAAGGTCGTGTTGATTGATTGACGGAGCACCCGGCTGCCAGCCGCCCAGCCGCACCCCCACCTCCCATGTCATACACTCCATGTGAATGCCCTTCGACCCAACTCCCTCATTCCGTTGGCCGCTTCAAGGCGGGGCCCCAAAATGCGGGGCCCTGAGGCGCCGCGCCCAGCAAGCCTGACCAGGGAACGTATGACTAATCGCTTACCACACATCGGTCACAGAAAAGTGTGGTGGGCCAGGCAGCCGGAGACCCCGGGCTCATATTCCCCCACACAGCCAACTCCAACAATTTTCGCCGCGTCCGGCGCGACTGGCACCTCGCCGCGGCTAGGCGTCCAGGGCAGGAGCAGAGGCGGGCGTTCTACCCGCCCTCGCTGTGCATTCCTGCTGGCGGCCGATCGGTGAGTGGGGATGGATTGCGGCAAAGAAAAAATTCTCGCTGCCCCGTTGGCCGGATGCCGGGGGAGGTGCCAGGAAGGGTCCAATTGTGGCCGAAACCGCCTTTGAACTTTTTTCCGGCGGTCGCTGGGGATGGCGCGAGCTCTCGAGGCGTGTTGGGTTGAGCCCTGCTGGCAGCTGTGGGCAGATTGCTGTGCGGGGACTGCTGTCCGTACCTGCAGGGCCCATCGACGGCTTCGGGGACGGTCAGCATGCCTCGGGCCCGTGGGGATGCCATGGGGACCCTCGGAGAGTTCGCAACCGCCCGGCCGCGGCGCCGCCGCTCGACCCGGCGCCGGACCCCGCCTGTGCGAATCTGGGCGCCGTTGCGATCGATTTGCATTTTTTCGGGCCAGATCGCCCCGCGGCCGGCGCAGTCCGGACGACGAGCCCGGCCCGCTACGCAACAGACGTTTTTCTCCCACACAATACAACAGGTGCCCTCGCTGCCTGTCGATCTCCTTTCCTTTCCCATCGTGCCGCGGTCCCCGCGGCACATGCCATCCTAGGAATCATGGATTCGGTGTGGGATCCGACCTCGCTCGGTTGGGATCGTCTTTCCGCCCGCCGCGGCGCCGCGGGCCCAAGCCGGCCTCCCCGCTCCCCGGTGGAAATCTTCCAAGAAAACGAGGAGAAAATGCCTCCGCCGGGCTGCTCCCCCTCTCCGCCCTTCCTTCAAGGATTCCATTTCCGGATCAAGCATCGCCCCACCAGGATTCATTTTCCCCCCCTCCCCGCGGCAATGCGATCCGAGGCGGGCGAGGCCCAGCGGCGTCGGCCGGAGCAAAAACTTGTTCGAGCCGCCCGCGGCATAGGAGTTCCTCGCTTTGGATCGGGCAGAGGCCAATGCTGAGTTTGTTGCGCAGCGCGGCCGCGAATTCGCCCCCGCGACGCCTGGGGACTGACCTGGGGGCCCCGTGCAGGCCAGGGGTGGCCTTGGGTCAGCCACGCGTAGGGGCACACCGCCAAAGGGGTGTAAAGGGCGGTACGTGGCGCCCCAGAGGGTTTGGCCACGCGTGGGAAGTTCGCGTCGCGTGATCGGCGAATCTCACTCGCCAGTGTGACTGCCATGTTGCCGGCGGGCTCGCGTGCCATCGTGCGGACGTTGGGCCGGTATTTATAGAGGCAGTAATCATGACACATCGGCTGGACGGGTGGCCTTGCCATGAAAGGACGCCGTTGTTTGGCATTTGTCTGTGACTCCGTTGTCTCCAACGCGGTTACAGACCGCCTCTCGCCAGACAGCTGCCCCAGCGGCGAACTGCCCAGCGACCTGTCAGCGGTCGCTGGCATCCCGAATGCGCATCGCATGTCCGCAGATGGCTTGATGCACGCACTTGCGAATGAGCGTGTTTAGAAGCGGTCACTGGGAAAAGCGGATCACGTGCTTGCAGGCGGCCTGCTGTAACCACTTGTGCTTAGGGACAATGAATTCCTGCCCAAGTGCATTGCGATTTGAAGTGCGCATGAAGCGAAATATGATAGAAATCCTGATGGAGTGACTGATCTGCTGGTGGGACGAATGGCCGACTTCTTGGACGGTCGATTGCTTGGCTGGTACATCGACGGCTGGCTGACTTCTCTGCGATTGAGCAGATTTGTGCGGCGCGATGCATTTCATGCGCCATGCCCCCAAGGGCCGCTGCTGACGACTCACCAGCCAGCGACGCCCCATGGCCAAGTTCTGGCTCGATCTGCTGGCTTTCTGGTGCCGCGGCTTCCCGGGCGTCCTCAGGAACAAGGCTGGGGTGTTCTGCGGAAAAGACGAGTGCAAGTTCAGAATGGCCAAGGGAGAGGGAGCCGTCGCCCTCCCTGGCACCTTCCAGGTGATTTGCTGGAACGGAAACTGCACATTCACACAAATTGTGTCCATGCTGAGAAATGTAGAAGTCCTACTCACGGCCTGTAGTTGAAGCGCACGATCCTAAACGACATCAAGTTGCTTGCCCCCCCCCCCCCCCCCAATTTTCTCAGCCGCGTTTCCAGCATTTGACTCGCAAATTCTGTGTACAAATTTGCGCGCTTCGCTCAATTTGTTGCTTGCAATTTGCATTAATGATCAGACGCGGTACAGTGGCTCAAACCATGTTACTGAGGAGACAATAAAGTGTTGGCAATGCCGCTGAAGGCTCGCTCGCGCATTCAAACATCTCTGAATCGAATAACATGAAAGCGCCTCATCAGGCAAATTCTCACGCCGTACATTTGGGTCGCTTCAGGTGACCCCCGTGGATTGGTTCATTCGGAACTTGGGCCAGATACTGACCCTGGGCATGGGGGGTGTGATACGGGCGCCCCTCAAGGAGTTCGAGCTCCTGGGGATCGACTGTGACACCCTCAAGGCCCTCGAGTATCTGTTCGGGAGGGAGGCTGTGACCTTTGATGCGGTGATGCGTTTTTTGAACCGGAGGGGCTACACGGCGTGCCTGACTGACCCGGAGCGTCACCTCGGCTGGACGAAAGTTACGACCGTCATGAGGAGGGCTGACGGGGAATTTTTGGGACCGGAGGATGGTGAAGAAGACGGGCCTGGAAGGCCGTCTTTCAGAAAATATATCATTGTGAGTGGGGCTCTGCGCGCTGCCGGGGAGGACGCGTTGTGACGCTGCGTTACACGCGTTCGGCGTCACGCGCTATGCGTTACGGTTGGCGTTACGCTGCGCGAGTCGTACAGCGCGCGACCGTTTGTCGCGCGACATGACCAGAATATCGGGAGTGGAAAATGGACAACAGGCAATCAGGCAAATGTGCCATGAACTTAGTGCATTAGCGCTGTAAGGGGAACCACATTTGTCCTGTATATTAGTGGAGGAGAAAGATGGATTGAATGCCCGTGGGGGGGGGAATGAATATTCGGTGATGGGTATGTACGATTTTGTGCCACCAGGTGATGTGACTAATAAATTTCAATAATGGCTTTTGGTGCCAAGGGGATTGGTTGGGGGCGCAAATGCGCATGATACTATGCAGCAGGAGACTGCCATTTTCAAAGCACTGAATTGGTGAGGAGGGATTTTCACGAAGGGCGCTGGTTGTTGCTTCAAGTGGAGATTTGCAGAACCTTGAGATATGGCAGGTTGTGCATGCCAATATCTTGACCACGGTGCAGCAGTACCGCAATGCTTCCTTTGTTCCTTTAATATTGTTCCCTGTGACTTTCTTCTCCGCAAATTGGTGTCAACAATGGTCAACACTGATGGTCAGAATCTCACCAATTAAACTCCTGTGAATTTAGGGCACAGTGCTGAAGTTTCACTGCAATCGAGACAACGGCGCCTGCGCCGCACTACTGCCATAGTTTAAGTCATTCTTCATAGTAACGCAACGCTGCTGTTCAAATGCCGAGAAAATATGTATTCTGTAGCGGCTCCCAATTACCGTGAAACTGGCCACAGTGGCTGCCCCCAGGAAAGGTTGGGTGTGCGCTGCGTTGCCGCCCTAAATGTGGCTTTCATTGCTCGCATGATTTGCTCACAAAGCGAAGCACGTGAGCACAAGCAGCCCACGTTCGCCAGAAGAAAACCAAATAACATTTTTCCAAACACATTTCTATGAATTCATCAGTTTTCTGCAAGTTAAAACACGGAAATATCCCAAACCTGTTCACTTTGTACACGTTTGTACACGTGTTATTTGGCCCCTTTTTTCCTAGTGAACATCCAACGTTGGATATAGAAAAAGTTCACTTGCGTCTATTCGGAGAAGCTTATTGTTCAGCGCGCCAACGTGATGGGAGCATTCCACCATGCCCTGATATGCGACGCTCTGCGCGGCTTGAACTGAATGAGCAGTGGCGGTCTAATGGCAGGCCGCCGTCGCGGCTTTCATTCCCGCGGATGTCCACACTTTTGCACAGTGAGCCTTTGGAGATACAGATTGCATCGGCGCACGCCAACCGCCATCCGTGCCCTCCAATTCTGTGGCCATGGACACATGGCCCTGGGGCTGCCCAATGCAAAAACAACAGACTGCTGATCAGCCTGAGGTACGGAATCGAGAGTCAGCGCTATCGGTCATTCGATGAACGCTGGAATGATCAAATATATCAGTGCTGATAACAATCAATACTGATATATTTCACCATTCCGCGCACAGAATTGTGGACCATTGTCGCCGAACATTCAACTTTGATCCCTTGCAATATACTCGTTATTCCACCCCAATTTGACGAGACCCAGCACCCATCCATGCAACCAGTTCAGAACCTCCCTGCGTGACTTCGTTCCTGACGTGCAAATACGGCAACTGCACAACCCTGCTACATACCAGAGATGGCATTTTCGGACACATCCAGAACGTGCGCTGGGAGATGGTAGACAAATCGTACTTTCTAGAAAACGTTCGCCGGGAGCCCCTAAAAATAAACCTTCAAGGGGCTAGTCAGAATGCATTCGCAAAATATCCAAATCCGCCCCAAAGCCTTTTCCTCCCTTCATGGTGGTTGTATGTGTCCTTCACCCCAGGTGGCTCTCCCAATCGGTTAGGCCCCAAGGATATGCCCTCCGTTTCATGAAGCCCATTACAGCGTCAGACATGACCACATACCTGCCGGAAAGGTGCTCCGGGGATTGTGGTCGGCACATCGACGGAGCCGGGTATTTTCGAGTGACATTGTCATGATGTCAGAAATGTCTCGCGCCATCATCCGATTCAAATCTTGAATGGCCATGACGGTAAGAATGGCTGAAAGGAGCAAAGAATCAGAGCTGAAACATATCCCACCTTTATCCCGCAAGCGCTTGACGGCACTATACTTGCCGTTTTTTTCCCGCTTGGCCCATCATTGAGGTGACATATTCCTAATTTCTGGCCGAATTTGACCGGGTTCGGAACTGGGCGAGGTCAGAAATTGTGCCAGCGGCAGATACATGAAAATTGCATGCCAACGCTTGTGAGTCTTGAAAAAGAGTGGCATGTTCCCGCTCTGATGCATGGCACAAATGCTGATGAAGACAAAGTGCAACAGTTTAGCAATGTATAAGGGCAAAACGCAGTGGCGTGAACGTTTGCGCATCGACGTAAATCACTTGCCAGGTGCTGGTAACCGCGAGTGAACCTGTGGCTTTGGCAGTACGATATCTTTCCTCGCCTTTTTGCCAGAAGACTGCCGCCCTTGTCTTGAAGGCGTTAGAAATCTCGGCACCGGCAGCCGACCAGATTGATCTAGCAATTCGTCGCCTTCTGGTTTCGCCGTGTGGGCTTGCTGCAAGCCGATGAAGTAGCGATCCTGGAAGGAATGGTCCATTGGAGGCATCGTAAAAGGCTGTGACGTTGAAATGCAGCAGTCAGCAAATCTGCTAAACAATCAATCAATCATCCCATCGCGGTTCTAACTACATGAAGTTGGGAAATCAAGATCATCCAAATGTCATCAAATGCAAAACTCATGTACGCGTGCATCCATCGCACAAGGAGTCAGCCGTGCGTAGTTGTTTTCGCAACCACGAACTCAGAAATGATGAGTATTTGGCTCGCGATGCTCCACCCTCTCATTCATGTCATATCAAAATCCATGGATTACATTTGTCACAAAATGACAAAACACAACCCGTGCACCTGGTAGCCGATGATGGGCGTGGAAACCGAACAGATAGTGTGCCCAGAATCGGTTATTCATGGTCCCATATCGCCACTCCCTATTGTCCCATGAGAAGCAGTGAGCTGGTAAGAGTAATGAATCCCCTGTGGATTATGTTCAGTGAGTATAGCGAAGAAAAATCAATCCCAACCCTCATGTACTATGTCCCACGCGAGCCCAAGCACATCGTACATATGCTAGAAATCGCACCAAGATTCCAAGGCCTTGTGGCACGAGTGCAGAAATGTCCCACGGAATCGTTGCATCTACCAAACGCCTCGCAGATTCATGGCATGTGAAACGGACATTTGAAAAGCCTGGACAATCCAAGAAAATATGTGCACGATTTGCCCCTCATTGCACCCTCTCATTGCATATGAGTCTCATTACGGTTTTACTCAAATGACTTGAACTCTATGGGAAAAGGCCCCAGGACCGCCATTTCGTGCTTCGCCGTGACTTTTTGCATCATCGTTGATGAGTAACACCCAGCCATCGCACCACACTGCAGCTCAAAGCCCAATCCCAACAAACAGCGCTACAGGGGACACCAATAGAAATATCCTGTTAGCTATGCCAACTGCTATTCCCTCTGACACAAGTATGGGAAAATATCGATGGCGTGAAGTTCCTGTTTTCGAAAGGCGCCGATCCGACCCTCGGTTTAAGAGATGCGCGATTTGTCGAGTTGTGTGGTTGCACCAGGTCATTGGCATCGAGCGTGTACGGCAGTGCGCTCCCGGATCTTGCCAAACGCAGGAAGACATGGATGATGTGGATGAGCTGATAGGCAGGACGGATAGTTCCGCAGGGGCATCCTCAGGGACCCCCCCACCCCACTGCTTCCCCTCCTGCTTCTCTCGCTGACCTGCCTCCGCCTCCTGCCTCTCTCGCTACCCCATCTTCCCTTCCAGCATCTCACGCTGGCCCTTAAGGACCCCCAGCGGCAACCGCAGGTGACCTTGAAACTAACGACTGCCAGAAGCCAGCCACTACCAAGGAGCGATGTTTGTGCATTGCAAGGAACTATTAAGCGAAACGACGATGACGTGTTCATGGAGCGTCATTCCATGACAAGGGACGACTTGACTAGGATAGAACCAAGGGAAGGGTGCTCCATTATAGGCGGCTTGTCCTTCGGGCTGCTTCAGATGCTGTCGCCAGATGCATTGTGCACAATCGTCGATAGGGGTCGGTGGCACTGAAATTGCGTCCTTTAACGTCGCTTGGTTATACCAGCTTGCGCCTTCGCAGCTCTTCTAAATGAGACATTTTGAGGACTTCATGCCCTAAGGTGCCATGGTTGTAGGGGTGCAGAATACCGCCTTGATTGACAGGGGCTGCGCGAAAAAGCATTGTGTCGCCGTTCTTTGTTGGGCTTCAAAATGGCTTATTGTCATAAAGTCTGTCCGAACTTTAGTAAAAAAAATACTCGATGTATTTGTTTTAATCTTGCAGTAGTTGTAGATCAATTATTGGAAATTTGCAGTAACAGAATGTCAATAACGCAAGCATGAAGCGAACTATCGTGTAGTCTGCTTTTCTGGAAAATTATCAAGTTGCACATGATTTCCACAATGTTCTGGGAACCGCGCCATGTGGGTTTTGTTGCCCATAGCTCCGAATCGACGCCAAGGCAGATCGTGTAAACACTAGTGGTTATATTACTTACGTATGTATCATCCAAATCTGTCCAAAGAGTTGCCCAAGTTTTCGAGCAGCGCTTCGATATGCATCGACGGCAATACAGGCACGTGCCTGTACAGCTCTTTCACCGCCGAGTGAGCCATTTTAATTGTAGGGAAAATGACGACAGGGTCTCCTTTCTAATATACTGTGACAGGAGGCCGTCCTTTGAGCGCTCCCCGTATATTGGAGGCGGTGGCGGCCCGCTGCCAGTCCGGGACCGGAACGCACCGCGGTCCTAATGGGGGTGGCTCCGCAAGAGGACTCTCTTTGTTATTTGCAACCACTTGGACGGCCTCCTTTTGCCATTTTCCCGGTTGAGTGTTCTGCGGGGCTCGCAACATTGTTTCAGTAGCCAAATCTACTTTGGTGTATTAAATAAGAATGCGTTATTAGTCTCCCCAAAGCCATGTGAATCACAGTGAGACATGATCTGATTATGTCGCCACCACAAACATTTTTAAAGAGCGGTTTTGCTGATCAATGTCAGAAGTTGCCCTTTGGGTCCGGTTTCATATTTTGGATGAATTTGGTTTCTCTTGACATTTGGTTCATTCTGGACATTCCGAAACGAAAGTGCATGCTCGCCTGGCTAAGGCAAAGGTGAGTGTTGCTTGAGTTTCTGAGCATGCGTTCGAGAAATCTGGTTGACCTGCATTACATGCGTATGCATGCTTAACGGCGTGCATGGGCACTTTCATAGCGATTCTTGCATTATTTTGGTGACTCTTGCGAAATTGGAGCATAATGACTGCACATAATTATCAGACCACAAGGCAGTACTTTGTGTGTTTTTTCATGAAGTTTCTTGCCATGTTTGATGATTGAGACGCGTTGGTTGCCTTGCACACGGGTCGGGAGGTCGCATAATTGTGTGAGGGAGATTACAATTTGCAATTGATGGGCTCCATTCGATGGACAACTGGCAGCGGACCTGTAGCGCATCTGATATATTGGGAGGAGGGGGCAAAGGCCATCATTGCAATCATGCTGATTGGCAAAATTGACTTTGTTGCAGAATTGCCAAGCACTGGACACAAAGAGAATGGCTAGATGGCTAAATCTAAGTTATCAACTAGGTCGATATGGATTGTGGCCTCCCTCCATAGAGTTGGTCATTACTGGCAGTTTAAGTTATGTCTCTTTTATGCACACAGATCAACTAGGTCGATATGGATTGTGGGCTCCACCACAGAGCTGGTCATTACCGGCAGTTCCATGGATTATGAGTTGCACGCAAAAGTCTTGATGCAAGGATCAATCAAGGCAAAATGTCCAAGTAGGACTTTCTGTACGAAAGTATTTGCTTTGTGCCTTTGGAGCACCCACGACCACATCCTCCCAAATTTTTGGGGATCTTTCATTCCATGAGCACACTTCTCACTGATGTTCATTGTGTTTGAGAATCCACAAATTGCCACTTGTCCCAAACTTCGTACATGGGGTCCACAATCCCATCGCAACATTGCTGTTCTCTACCCTTGAGAGAGACAAGGCTTTATATGTTGAGCGGTCGTCGGAGAAAATTGCATATGTTGGGATGTGGAGGGATATGCATATCCAAGATGTGAACACCATATCCCAGGATTCGTGGACATGATATTCAACTTTTTCCAACGCTAGTCTCCGTTTCCGTCTCCGCACCAGTGTATCGACACGTTCACATATGGGAACACCCTCCAGCAACCGTAGATCTCCTAAACCACTGGCGCAGCCCAACCAACACAGTGTTTTGCCCGCCTGCCTGCCCGCCCTCCATTCCCTTCCAGCCCGCCGACCGGCGCCCGGTTTCAATGACACATGCAGTCACTTGCCAAAATTCGCAAACGCAGGCCACTGCTCGGTCTGCGGAACAATGGACACAGAGGCGGGCTCAATCCCATCTTCCGCCTGACCTTCTGCTCCCCGCTCCTGCTCTTTCCTCACCCTGCGCCTTTTGGGTTCAAACGCGTCAACAGCCTGCCAGGGGGTCCCCAGAAGGCTGCCCCAAGCCTCGGACATTCCGTGGCCCGCTGCCTCCCCAAGGAGGCGCTCCTTCAGATATGAGATGGTGCATCGTCGCTGTGCTGGCGGTCGCGGCGACGCACCTCGCACTGCCCGGCGCCAGTCAGCTCGACCCCGGCGCCCTGGCATCGCCTGATGAAGGTGTGAGGTGGTCGGATTTCTCCTTCTGTTATTCTCTTGTTCTTGTTTTCCTATTCTCTACGGGCCTTGCTTCAGAGGCTCACACGACAATTGAGGCTGTGGGCGCCCCCACCCTCCCCCGCCCCCAGGGCCCAAACGTGCCCTGCACTCCGGCAGGCGCCGCTGCGTGCTCGAGTGAAGGGCACCATAGAACATTCCCCGTATAACGCGAGTGCTCGACGTACCATGCCTGCGCATGCTAGTATCGCTGTTTAGTGCGGAATGGCAAGCGTAAGAGGTAGCGGGACGGCGAGCTGCTTGAATGTTGTGCTGAAGTGTGAACATGTGTTCCATACATGTTCCCGGGCTTGTGGTGTCTGTAGGGTTGGCGTGTGTCTAGTTCTTGTGGCAGTCTTGTGCGTATTTAGGGGATTTTGAGGCAGCAAGGAAAGTCGGGCAAATGCAGCAGTTTCGTGTGTACTCCAGCGTTCCGTGCGCGGACTAAAGCCCAGCAAATGGAGGTCAGGTTGCCCTTTGTCGAACCAATGTGAGGTGCCTTGGGTTGGAGCTTGGCTCTGGGGTGGGTTTTGGGGTGATGGACTCCTGGAATAATCGTTCCTTCAAAGAGGCAGCCAAGCTAGAAATCTGGCTGTATGGCCTGGCAGGTGGGTAAACAAGGGGTGTCAATGGGGTCATTCAAAACCTGCTGCAGGGCAGGATGGCTTTCCTAAGGGCAGGACAGCAGTCCTTGCAGGCTGCTGGTATCAAACCTGGAAGTGGATGCTGAAAAGCCAGCGCAAGAGTAACTGTGTCCACCCTTTCGATTGCTTTCACTTTATTGGCTTCATTTTTGTTTGTCAATGCCACTATTCAAAACCGATGGACAGCAGTGTGTATTCTGTCGGAAAGGCTGTGCACTTATCATGTCTCAGTTTGCATTTTGATGCAACCCTAAGGTGGTGGAGCAGGTGGCTGTAACTTCACTTAGGAAATGCAAGCAATGTTGCAAGGGATTTTATATATGCTTTTCTGACACCAAATGCTAATGATAAGAACGATGTGCACAGCTTCCTTGGAAAATGCGTTGACTAATGCGCAACATTTGATAGTGTGACACAGTGTTTCTGTTGGTGCAGATCCTGGTTTGGGAGTGCAGTACCTGAGGCAGCTCGAACAGAAGACAGCAGCTGTTGCAGTAGGGAGAACATTGCATGTGGTGGTGCTCCCAAGGGCGGTCCATCGTGCTACACTGCAGCAATTATGAGATGGCCATATTGAGAGTACATGGTCATGGACAGCACAAAACAACTTGCCATGGTCATGCCATACTTCAGGAGTTATCACTGTCAGAGACACAACACTAACTATGACAGTCTGCAAAGCTTCATATCAAGGGCATGGGGACCTAAACAGCCTTGCAGTGTTGGACAAAATTTTACAGGTTGACAATGGCTGTGAGCAAGAGCACTGTCACCCTTGAGTGGATGTGACATTATGTATGGCATGAACGCAGGAAGGAGAAGATGCACCCTGCGGGCGTTATCCCTACATGGTTTCTGTTCAGGAGAAAAGTGGAGGGAACAAACACAGATGCGGTGGGGTGCTAGTGTTCCCAGATTGGGTCGTGACAGCCGCTCACTGCGTTGATCCAGATTTTGCACAGTCGCCGGGGGCGACACCCACAATTGTTATAGGAGCATGCAATCTTGATGACATCAACAATGAAAACGGGGACGTTGAGGTAAACCAATCACAAATCTTCCTTGCTTGTTGTATAATTGAACATGGTGCTGCCATTTCCATGACTATTGTAACACCTAGAGGGCCTCAACATGTATTGTAATGTCAGCTTATACAGTGCCCATGTGCTCTGCTTGCAGAGGGTGCTGCCTGAAGATACAATTATTCATGAACGGTGGAATGGGAAGGTCGAAGATGGACACGACATTGCATTGCTCAAGCTGAGGAAGCATTCTGCACACAGACCGGCTGGGCTGCCCGTCAGCATCCATACTTTGAGAGGCACTGAAAAGCTTGTAGCACTTGGGTGGGGACTGCAGGACAGGTCCAAGGCACAAAACAAGACCACACTTCAGCAAACCACTGCCATTGATTTTGTTCGGACCACATTGTGTAATGGAAGCTCAGCAGATGCTTGGAATGGGACCCTCATTGACTCCATGCTGTGTGCTTTTAGCTTCGATGGCCAACAAGTCTGCAAAGGTAATTGAAGAAGTATTCTTGTGTCATTCACTCTTTGTCACCATAACAAAATGAGAAGCCTAAATTGTTGAACGCAAATGTTCAGGCTTGTCATTTACGCCCTAAACACAGATCGCACCACATATTTACGTATTTGCCTGCTTACGCATAAAAATTGTTCTTAGGTTTTTACTCAAAAAAGGCATAAAATACGTAAATACAATGTAAAGACAGCCTCGTATATAAGGGCAGCACATAAAGATTGGGATGTACGGGGAGTGGCTGCCAAATGCACTGGGATGGGTAGAAAACGAATTTTTGCTCCATGCCATCGCTGCCCTGGCTGAGGGTGAGGTGGAATCTGTGGTGCTGGTGTTCGAAGGAATGGAAGATTGATCATTGTGCGGGACTTTCATTGTGTAGCCTTGGTGTTACAACGAGCTGTAGAATATGTGAATTTACATTGTTATGTGTGAGAATGTAAAGACATAAATGTAGATAACAAGTGTATTTACGATGTTCCATCAAAAAATGTTGACACCCAACTCCTTCCTAACGTGCAGCTTTTTGGTGAACAACCCCTTAGCATGCTTGCTCTGTTTGGCATCATCCAGATTCTGACATTGCAAGTGTTCTGATTGTTGAGATCTGGTGATTGAAGCCTCCGCTAACTCCACCAAGCAGATTGGAGACGCTTTTGCACTCCCAACACATTCATTATATAATCAGCATGATGAATGCACAATGTGTTCTTGCTTGTTGCTTTCATATATTCCTACTTACTGCAGCATAAATATTGGATCTTGGCATGCAGTGTGGGAGATTTGAATGGTCTTTGGTTGCCATGCTGCCTATGTGTACTTCTTCTTTCTGTATGTTGCATCAAAGAATATCCAACAAGCAAACAAGCACGTTTGGAATTGAATCATGAAAGAACACTGTAACTTGGTACATCATTCTTAGCCGTGGAACGAACATTATGTACTTTGTGTGCACCATCATAGAAAACAGCATCATTATACCTTGACAAATTATTCATGCCTGGTTTCTAGGAGACAGTGGGGGACCCCTGGTGCAAGTGGATGTCTCAAGTTCTGGAATTTTAGATGCCAACCCTGAACTTGACATCATTGTGGGCATAACGTCTTTCACCGAGGATGTTCCTTGTGGAGATGCAACGAAGCCAAATGTGTTCACACGGGTGGCCAGTTTTCGTGCCTGGATAGATTCCAATGTCAAGGTGAACTGGCCTTGCCAGACTTATTCAGACCAATGTATTTTCTGTGTTTGCATTTCTTGTGCTGTGTGGGCTGGGCACTGGTTCATATTGATGCCTGAATTACATGTTACCCACTGCTCATGTTAACTGCAGCAGTAAACTGGGATAACAAGGAATTTGTGTGCACAGCACAAAAAACCTAGGTTGGATAGGCTGTTGCTAATAACTCATGAAAATGGTGATATTTTCCAGTTTGGAAAACTAAAGATGGCTGGGAATGCACCTGGTATCAATTAGGCCTACATAGTGTGAAACCATTTCATCACGGCCATGTTAAGTTCAAGTGCTACTGCCAGGGCATGGACAGGTATGAAAATCTGCAAGCACCACAGAAGCCAGTGCAATTATCACTATGGTAGCAGAATTCTTGCATCGGAGGTGCTCCAACATTGGACTCCGTATCCCACGGCCCCTGACATCATATTCCAACATCTGTCTCCATCGATGCATCTCCGACACAATCTGATGCCTGATTCCCATACTGTCTCCAATCCACTGACGAACGCCGCCCTTCTGTTTTGGGCACCATATCTGTTGTTGGTTGGACGCTTCCTGCGCCATGGCAAAGACTCGAACCCCTTTCTGTGGCAGACGTGCCCATCAGCCACATTTTGCCCAATGCGTTTCCCTGTGTGATATGCCGATGGCCCAGAAACTCCACAAGAAGGCGTCCTGTTCAAGCTGCCAACCGAATGGAAGGCAAAAAATCGCGGAGTGGGGAATGATCGAGCGCCACCACACACTCTGAATGAAAAAGGCGCTTGCACGGGGCTGCCCATGCAATGGGGAGCCCGCGTCCCTCCGTGCATGATCCATCTCAGCCCGCGGGGGCCCACCACGTCGGCGCAGGACACCAGGACGGAATTCCTGAAGGCAGCAAATTACTGCACCATTGGCAGCCCAATCGGGGCACCATGCCCAGCATCGTTCACCAACACCAAGGGCCACTCCTGATGATCCAGACCACCCCACCTGAATCCGGCGTGGGCGTCGAGGTTGCAACCCCAATCTGGGACTGACGTTGAAAGAGAATTGGCAATGACTGTGTCGAAAATTCTGTAGCCACAGTGTGCAGACCATCACCAAAATGCCATTGCCATGTTGGCAACAACAATCTGCAATATGCAAATGGTAAAGTATTTGAATATCAAATGCATTGAAATTGCATTGAAATATATTTCAAAATATGCAGCAGCCTTAATATATTTAGTAGATCAATCTACTACATGTGCATCAGTATATGCGCATCTTCTTAAGTTGAATTTGTTCGAATAAAGTTATTTCTTCTAATTGTAGCAATTGGTCATAGGACGTTGGAACCAATGATTTTTCATTCTTTCCAGGATTTTAGAAGGAAAGCACACCAAACATGGCTGCTTCTTTCCTCGTGTTTTGTATTTGCCTTGATTATCTTCGCATTTAAAGGATAGTGCAATGTGCCTATGACTCACTGTGAACTAGCTACATTGGATGTACGCCATTACAACAAATTGTGGGCGTTTCTGTTTAATGAAGCCGAAATAAAAGTATATGATTGTGTTCAACTCTGTGAGTCCAGGTCAAATTTCGCACAGTGAAACTTCATTGCGCCATATAATCCATCAGATCATACTTATTAATTTAACGCTTTGTCGTCAACTCTTGCAATTTCTTGGATATTACATGCAATGCTGTTGTTGGCTCTGTTCCCTCCTAATCGATGGTATCTTGTACATTGTGTGTTTCAATTATATTGGCAACAAAGCACACATCAGCACTTACAGGCTATATTAGCAAAATGAAATCAGCAGAATCGGCATCAATCAAATAAACCCTAAAGTAGGCAACAGCCCCAGTCAATGAGCCACCGGCAGAAGCTGCTCTCATTTCACTGCTTTGCTACCACCGGCTAAGTAGTTGCTTTTGCAAACCTAGGAATTGATTTGCATTGCTGATTTTTTCACAAGTATGAAAAGAATTGAAAGCAGATGAGGTACTGCGATTGTCACTGTGTTTGAGATCCAGATTGCAGTTGCGCACAGGTCCGGTACCAATGTGCCTGTCAACGTATTAGCAACAAGGTGACGTGAAGTTTTGCGAATACTGACAGGCAGCATCTGCATTGCCACCACCTTCCGTCCCATCTGCTCCTTCCCCTAAGCTGCCGCCACCAGCGAGCTCTCCTAATCCCCCTCCTGCAGCTCTGCCTCCATCCCCATCACCAGAAAGACTTCCAAAACCTTTGGTATTGGCACCCTCTGGCATGATGATCATTATGTGAGATGAAATTATTGCATATTCACACATAGGTTGCCAGTTGGCACTCGGCTTGTCGCAATGAGAAGGTCAACTCACCTCACAAGGACTAAATGCAAGCTGTTGTCCATTTGCTTTTCAAAAGGGTTTTAAGTTGTGAATCAGGGAACTCTTCGTCAAAGCTCTTCTAAGTTACAGCTGTGACTGCAAATTAATGTGGCTGCATGTTGATATTGAGCATGAAGACATCAAAGATAGTGCACTACAGAGTTTGTGTCGATGAAAGTGAAAATAGTGGCAAGTGCACTTTGGTTGGGACCCGCCGCTTTGGAAAAACAAATGCTGACACATTGGTGCACACTTGTTTTGGGGGACCTTTATGCACATATTTCATCGATGCATTACTGTTCTGCTGTTTTGTGATGCTCAGATATGTGTACATCAAAATTTCTGCTACCCATTCTCATCACTCAATGATTAGCTCAGGACATACATGCGGCAAACAAGTGGGTCCAACCGCAACATAGACTAGTCAGGGTTTGGCATCCACACTCATTGAGCACTGCTACAAAGCAAAGAGAGTATGCTGTACGGCTGTCATGAGCAATGTCATTGTACAAGCCCAATTTGGAGTGTCCCACTGTGGCACATGGGCAGGAGAGCATTTCGGCCAGCAGTTACTTCGTCTGTCCCATATTAAATGTTCTCTGTGAATTTGACAAATTATTTTCAATGACAAATATTCTTGTTTCAAAGAAGCTTTAGGAAAGACACCAAGAGACACTGAAGAATGAATTCCTGGCAGTGAAACAGCCGTTATGTTGGTAGCAGCCACAATGAGACCCACATGTCACATGCATTTTTGGGCAGCTAATACCAACTTATCATGGGGCGGATGCAACAAAATACGGAGTCGAGCTTCCTGAAATTACTCGTTCAAAAAAAGCTTGTGATTCTCTGTCATATCTAGCCTGTAGCGCATCCCAGGTCAGAAAACCCAGGTATAAAGAATACAGAAGCCTGGCACAATTTTCTTGGAAAGTGCAAAGTTCACTATTTCATATTGGTTAAAAGTATTTTTCATGTTGATAGTGTTTGACGCATACTTTTTTAATCGACATTGAGGGTTGTTTCTCGGGCCGTAAAGTCTTGCTTCATGTCTTGCCGCAAGGGTGAAAAGACCAATTGCAAACGATATCCTTACATTGTGTCACTACGGGACCATATTAACAAGCATGGTTGCAGTGGTGTGCTGATCCACTCTTCGTGGGTGCTGACCGCCGCTCACTGCATAGAGGACGGCGACGCCTTTCAGGGCGTTGCCATTGTTGGAGCCTGTAAATTGAGCGCTGCAATTACACAGAAGAACACCAAACAGAGACAGGTGGGTCCAAATGACAACCTTTTGGGAGTATTTTTGTTGTTGTGAATAAACATTTGCTTTCAGCAACAATTCGTGCTCAACGGATGCAATGCATAGCAATGGCGCTTGGTTCCTGTGTTCAACGACAGAACGCCAAATCGCCAAAAACATCTTTGCTGGCATGGAAGCTCTGAAACTCGAAGTTCGATGGTTGCTTGCTCTTGCACATATCTAGATGTCTCCTTGGCCAAAGTGTTAAAATCTGTGTCAACTTAAAAGATCACATTATTCATGTGAGTGATCATTCGTTCGCCTTCATTCCTAAGTTCTCCCTGCATTTCATTCTACTGCCATGTTTCTTTTCTGGCTACGGTGACCTTCATCGTATTACCTTTCCGTTATTGCAAATATGCAGAGCTGTGCTTGTGTGCGTGTCGTTTGTTGTCTCTGCAGGTGGCCTCGATCGATCTTGCAGTGCCTCATCCGAAGTGGAATGGAAATAGGACTAACGGAAACGACATTGCGCTGCTGAAATTGGACCCGCCATCTGAAGCCAGGACTATTGCAACCACATCCAGTTCAGAGTTGGATGGGTCGTTGGTCGCCCTTGGATGGAACGAGTTGGCAGATGGCTCCCTAGCCGACAAACTACTTCAACAGACGGATGTTTTGCCAATGGAAAATCGCGATTGCGCAAGGAGTAATGTGTGGGGCAATGTCATCGCCAACTCCATGCTATGCGCAACAGGCTTCGGAAATGCACAACCCGAATGTGGAGGTGGGCGTAGCCAATTCGTAATGCATTTAGTGGCCCACAATTGGATTCGAGGACACGAGCCTGGTCACCAGGACACGAGTCTGCTTGCACATCTTCTTCGCTCCTTCACATGAATGGCTGCCTCACGGAAATGAGCGAAATAATCTTTGTTATTGAAAATGCAACGCCACAAAAACAGAAGTTATCAAAGATTCTTTCCTGCCAACTAATAGACTTGTGTGTGGTACGAAGGGGTATTACAGAGGCTTCCTGGAAGCTGAGCTTTGGCCCACAATGGCAAGGCTTTCGCACTAGACAACTGCTCGAAACATGATTTCCAGCGTGAATTCATGTACATCGCATCATTCAATGCACTGGGATGCGTAAAAGGATTCGTTGCTTTTTCAATTTCTTCCCAACAACCAGTATCAGTAACAGAAAACCGCATTTCGGAGATGTGATTCTGATATTAATTGGCGCCATCACCCTGATTTCAAATGGCATCGCCAAAATGTGTTTTTCTTTTGGTATATGATATTCTCCTTAAGGGGATTGGTCCCAACAGCAATTTTGAATGCCAAATTTCTGTGAAAATTGTGGTGTGCATTGCTCGAAGTCGTCACTGTAATTAATATCAATATTGGCAACATTACTAAAGACATGGATGCTGCCAAGAAATACATGCAATTTGAATGTTCCATTATCTGTAACTCTGTGCAAGAGACAGTTTCATTTTAATGACAGAAATGAGTTATCCATCACCAGCACGAAGTCCGAAACCATTGGAGTTTCTGCCTACAGTGGGGTGGCCTCTTTAAGGCCACCCCGCTTCGACCCCATTTCACCGGCCTTACTGACCGTTGGTCTTATTGAGGTCCGCAGCCCGTTTAAGGCTGTAGAAGCCATTTACGGCACATTCAACATCATATAATGCATATATTGGTTATTTTTAAGGGTATTCTGATATCAACGTGTTGGTATTTTATGCATTGCCCAATAATAAGAAGTGTAGTATTTTGCTTGGTGGCATTGATTGTCAACAGGCCATCGTCCAATCGAGGGAAACTGAGTAACCGGTGATATGGGGTTGCGAACGCCCCTGCGCCCACGTTTGCATTGTGCTAAAGGCCCGAGTGCCCAGTGTACGAGATACCTGAAGGTCCCTGGGCTGTGAACACCCCGCACGGCACAAACTCTTGCCGCCTAGGGGCAGAAACGGCCCAGCAAGCTTGGGCATTCACATCCCGACATTCTGATTGTCGTGGACGCGTGAGCCAACCTTGCAGCATGGCTGCAGATGCCTTTGCTAGTGCAGAGATGTCACGGCGCAGAGAATTAACTCATTACCGTAGCAAAGGTTGCACGATCCATTTCTGAATCGCCATCGGGATCGACTTCTCCACAGATCCTGTGGAGGTACCCATCACACCCAGAGCACTTGTGTATAGTGCAGTGAGGCGGTTGGGAGGTGTCGTGGGGCAGTATGCACTTCTTGCCTTCGATGCAAGGTATGGCGGCGCCCCCCCCACGCTCAAACTACTTGCGGCCACGTCTTTGTAGTAGTTTAGATCGTGCCACCAGTTTTGGCCGATTTTGACCGGCCTTACTGACCATTTGGCCTCATTCAGGGTGGCCTTAAAGAGGCCACCCCACTGTGCTTCTAGAGAATTAAATGCAGTGCAGAGCTGAAGAACCCCAATGCTAAGTTGGAAATTATGGTTCCGGTAAAAAAGGTGAAATACGCATCACACAGTTGCAACCAAAGCCTTGCAAGGCCTTCCAATTGGAAGTCTTTCACATGAATATTGCCATGCATATGCAGGGTTGCTTATGGCATCCGTGCTATGGTTGATGCCCAGCAGGACTGCACACAATCCGACCAGCTGGTGTAGCCCTCTCACCTGTCTGGCATCTCCATACCGTTCCCTTTCCAGTGCGCCAAAACGGCCAAATCAACAGATACGCCCTATGAGAGCGGGGTGTTGGGGGTGTGTGGAGGGGCGCAGCCTGAGCGGTTCAGCCATGATGCAGAGTGGTGAGCGAGGAGCACTGCAGGAAGAGGCAACGATGCATAGATGTGGGCCAGCCCTGCCGATGGGCATGCATCCTTGGGACGCGTGCTGAAAACGGGAGGCGCGCCCATTTGACTCTGAGCTTCAGCCGAAATGGTCCAAGCTTGAGCCGAAACGGGGACTGTGGGAGATGCAAGGCCGGACCTGGCCCCCCACCCCCCACCACACCCCACCATACTCCTTCCGCTTCTTCTTTTGCTGCAGTGGTGCGTGCACGCCCATTTCGTCTCTGTGCCTCAAAGTTCGGCCCAAATGGCCGAAACGGGGAGGTGGAGGGTACTGTTGTCCCCACCACATCGCTGAAATGGGGTTGTTGCCACCATTTTGGAAATGGGCTTCAGCGGAAATGGCCCCAACTCAAGCTCATCCGGCACATAATCGTCGGTGGGGGCGCAGAGCGTCCCTCACATCCCCGAATGGGACCTTCAGTTGCCGTTGGCACAATGTTTACCGAAATTGTAGGAACGCCGGCACAAGAGGGTGCTGGGCAACCCAAATCCAGCCAAAACGGCTCATGCGTAAGCTCAAACGGGCAAAGCTATGCGAAGCGGGCATTGGTGGCCCATAGCTGCCAAAACATGGCTGCCAGATCAAATTGTGTCTGGCATCATGAGCAGCGGCTGAAGCATGACTCAAAATGGCTAAAACAGGACAGAACAAGTCGGGGAGGGAAATCCTTCCCCTATTTTTGGTTGCCTTTCCAACCCAATCTATTGGCCCAGCCCCATTTTCCCAAGGTGTATACCGCTCAGCACCTTCTTTGCCGAGGTTCCCGCTCATTTGTGCCCATTCGCTTTGCAATGCATTGCGCTTCACGTGACTCATCCCTGAGTTCGCCCCCTTATCCTGTACTTCGCTTCCTCACCATCCCACAACGAATCCAACTTTACTGTCTCCGGGCGGTCAGGTTGGGTTCAAGACATGGGAGAGTGGGGACTGAGGTGCAAGCGTACGCTTTACATGCAAAGCATCAAGTAGACGGGGCACGGGCAGCAAATACATCATCGTACTCTGGATTGCTTACCAGGGTACTGTAGCTGCCATTGCCGATAGGTCGCAAGGTATTCTCAAAAAGCGTGCAACGTTCAATTCTGGAGCAAACTTACCTGTGGTATTCGGTGGGCGTCGACATTGCCTCTTAGAACACACATATAGTGTGAAAGGTTCCAGCTGCCAAATGGCAATAAATGAAAGACCCGAAACTCAAGATGTTCTGAATTACCATGCTCTTTTGCCGCTGTGTGATCAAAGCGACAGCAAAGACCATAGAAATACTCCTGCCGATGTTGCTACAGCGTTGCTGTATATCCATTCCACCCTGTGGTAAGCACGGTTTGCATGTTTGGGCAGCGAAATTCACTGCAATGGATACCATTTTGCTAAAATCTCGAATAAAATCTGATGTGCAGTTGATGATGGTGCCCCCCTTGTGGCGGCATTTGCGCCTGGTGGGGATCCCTTAAAAGGTTCTCCAGCTGGGGATGCTCTTGTGGGAATCATGTCGTTCGGGGAGCCGGGGAAAGCTTGTGGCTTCTCAAAGAAGCCAGGTGTATATACCCGCGTCAGCGAGTACCGCCATTGGATTGAGAGCACGATAGAGGTGAGTCTCGAGCCTGCGGAGGTAATTTGTTTTGAAGAAACTTACATCGTTGTGCCATAGTTTTTCGGTATCTCGATTCCAGACTTGGCTGTGGTGTCCGGTGGGCGTAAGTGCATCGGTGACCAATGTATTTTTGCAGTGGTGTGTTTTTGATACGACTGCAGCGACCGGCGCCGCGTTTCACGCTCATTGTGTATACCTAAATGTCCTCATGCGCCCTTCGTACTGGTTTGTATTTGGTACGCTTGGGGCGTGTAACGAAATTACCAACATCATGATGCATCATGGCTTGACTTTGTTAAATAAGATTTGCTGTCAGAAAGGGGTGTCAAGCATGGAAATGAATTGCGTTCATCTACAGGGGGATAACGCTAGTTCCTGAAGATTAATGACAACGATTTTGCTTCCATGCGTGCTGTCGTTGAGCGATTTCCTAATTTCTTCTGAATCATCACATCAATGAATGGTAGCCACATTTGCGCCAATCGCACGGATCCTCACGACAGGCATTACACTTAATGGTATGGAATGATGTTATTGCCACGAGCACTATGCGTTAAGTGTAACAAATGTAATAACAGCATTAAGTCACCCTGACACATCGAGGACGGCAATATCCTCAGTCGACACCTCGTGAATAAATTATTGACGCGTTGTTTTTTCCATGCAAGACAGCACTAAAAGCATTACTCTCCCTATGTTTCTTTGGTATGTCAACACCATTTCTGTGTGCATCGATAGGAGGGGGAAGGAGCGGCCAGGAGCCGCGATGAGCGGCCGTTTCTTGGCATCCCATCTGGAACCATACCTGAACCACCACCTCCACCTTTAGCTGTTTCCACTGGTTGAACTTCCGGGCCACAAACATCGACTTCTCTGGGAGACTCCGGCAAGGTGTACACCGAACATCATTCCAGTGGAGCGTTCTATCATTGCACCCCAAGCCTCCATTGATATAGGAATACAACTCCACTTTCTGCGCTTTCAAATATGGGCAAAGCGAGTCTGGGACTGAGCAGCCAACGCATGCTGTTGTTGGGACTCGTCGGCGTGTTGCAATGCTCCCATCTCGTCGATTTCAAGGACTGTCTTAGCGGCCCAACTAAGTCCTTTTTCATTGCGCGTCCGGCTGACGAGATGCGCATTTCGCTCTGGCATCTCTTCGGATGCGCATGATGGTAGTGGAAAGAGTCGTACTGCGACTCATACCGCTAACATTTTAAGAGAGGGAGTTGGAAGCGGCCCACCCTCTCTGCAGGGCGTGGACGAAACCGAAGCATTAGCCTTTCTTTTGTCAGTGTGCCAGATGGGTTTCACAAGTGTACGGCTGGGCAGAGCGGGGTGGCGCTATCCCCACCGACAAATAGGTATATCGGTGGTTGGTAATCCATGCGGGGGGGGGCGGGGCAATGGCAGTAGCCCCACATGTCAAATTTCGGTGCTTCGTATTTTGTGGCCATTATGGACTAAGGGGGGACATTATTTGTAACTGGTACGCTTACCGTCAAACAGACGCCAAGTTCAGAGCCCCCGTGCGCCCCCCCCCCAAAAAAAAATCTGCTGCCATTTTATCGCTATTGATATAGCAAAAATCTGCTGCCGTTGTTGAAGCCAATATTTCTAGTAAGATACAATACACACTGGCGTTGTTTATGTGGTTACCTTTCAAATCTTGCACCATCAATGATCTTGCTGCAAGTCCCTTTAAAAGTGTTCTGAGGTGTGCATTCGTTTGTTTGCAGTGACACAAGGCAGCCTGAGAAGAGCGAATGATACCCGCGGGCTGTTGCGATGCTGCACACTGTGGTGACTACATTCGTGATGCAAGTCCCGGAAGCATTTAAACAACGAAAGAGCAGAGGCGGGCCGCGGGCGCCGTCCCATCCAACATGCTAATTTCTTGACAGTCTGCGAGCTCCGCTGAATGTATTCAGTCATGTGTGCGAGACGCTATGCATCTAGCTGTCAAGGCAAACTTTCAGTTTCTGTGCTGGTGGCTTGTACTGCGCTAATCAAACGACACGCATAACCTTTTGTGCACCATGTATTATTTGGGTCAACGAGATAATGTAGGGCAGAATGTGTTGCATTGTTACACTCTTGAAGGAATGGCCGTTGATGCAATTCAAACGGCTCCTTTTGGAGTGCACACGGGAAGTGCGAATCCACGATCGCCGATGCTTCAACGGCGTTGGCACACGGCCAGACGCAAGGCCACACCACACACAACACGCCCAGGGCTTACATATTTGTTCACCCTTCCCACAATGAAGAGCCTTGCCGGCGGCGGCAACGACCCCCGCAACCGAACTGTTCGAATCTTCTGGCACCCACAGAACTTTCCTTTTCATGTGACAAGGACCATCATCCATTATCAACCAGCCATACCGCACTTCAGAGATGCCCACTCATCGCCACAATACAACCCACTCTATAACACATATGTCAAAGGTGCCCATACACTCAGTGATAATGTACAAGCCGCACACCATAATGCATAAGTGATCCACCCAGTGAAACGGTGGTCATTATGCGGTGTTGCGAACAACACTTATTTAGGCCTAGTACTACCTCTTTGGATAGGAGCTAAAAATAGAGAATAATTCTAAGCACGGCAATGGAACTCACCATTGAGGGTTTTAAGATCCAACCACTTTGGCCATCATTAAACAAATAAATTAGATGAAAGCAAATTAACCAAAACAGGATAAACAATGTTCAAACTTTTAATTTCATTGGCTTGCAGACAGCTACTATAATACGATGCGCTTCACTCTATGTTGCCACCAAATTGGGTGAATTGCCTTTAGCGAGTGTGTTCCCAATATTGTAATTTTGGTGACGCCACCCCTTGACAATCTTCCTGAAGACCCTAACATGTAACCAATACTAAAAATTGTCATTCAACAGAAATGATTACAAATCCAAGAGCCCCGGCATCGTCATTTTCTCCAACTCCCTCAGAGGATATAGTTGAATGTATTGTCAATAATCCCACCATCCCTTCCTCTTTGATTCTACAAATGAGTTATCCCCTCCTGCAATTCACCGCTGACATTACTCTACAATTTGAAAATTTTGTGAGCGGATTTGCTCTTGATGTGGTACCCTGAGTTAGGGCTCCTCTAGTAGCTCTAATACTTTGATTTTTAGCACAGCCCTTCTGATCACCTAGGTCCAAGAAGAATGAGAAGTGGTTCTGTGGCAAACCGTGAGAAATTGTTTCATGTGTTGGCCACTCATAGCTGGTGCTCCCTCGTCATACCCATTGTTGGTAGCTTGTCATGCCAAATACCTCTGGCAATCGCATTTTAGATGATGCTTATGAACAATCATTGTTTCTGCCAGAAAACGCCGATGTTGAAGGCATTGCATTGTGCCACCTAGCCAATCATCGCATTTTCGCCGTGCTTTCTTCATTTAGAGATGTCGTAACATGACTAGCACGGAATTTGGCACTATCGAGCCCAAAGCACTCAGCACGGTATACTATTGATCGAGAAAGGTTTCCAGCAAGTCCCTTTGGAGTGGCATAATATTGGGCTTTTGTGCTTAAGTGTCACAGGAACCAGCTTGGGCCAAATTTCACTGAGAAAATGTGGTATTCATGATGGAGATTGTGAGCGCCAAAATAATGGATAAATAAAAATAATTTGGGATAGAGCAAGGAATGCTTTGCCGTTATGAACAACACCAAACAAAGAAGTGTATAAGCGTGCTATAGAATTTGTTCATAGCAAACAATACACTTGCATCTTTTCTTATTTTGAACAACGTTCTTGTCAAATATCTTCTTTTGCAATACTTACAAAAATTTGCCAATTTGGCGCAAATTCTGTCCATAACTGACCACGCTATTCAGCACCAAATGTCGAGTTCAGTGCATAGTAAGATGCACATATTAGTGGCCCTACACAGGGGCGAAGGCGCACGCAACATAAACGGATATATCACTATATATATCACTAACATAGCCACGCGATTTCGGAACATTCATGCCAGTGTCAGCCAGAGACCATAACATAGACCTGAGGACTCTTATGCTTCAGGGACAACACTTCGTGTAGGAATATTCCACAACATGCAGAACGACGGAGGTGCGCATTACAAACCGCTCGATTATTACTCTTCACTGCAGCAAAAGAAGGTAATGGCAGCCAATCTATTGTGGCAGCGGCATCCGCCAGGATCCTTGAAATCCTGGAACCCTTGGCGCGATTGCGGCACCAGGATGGTGTTCGCGTTTGAGTCCTGCTGAACGACGTTCTCCATGTTATGAGACCAACAAATGAGCGCATGTTCTGCGCAGCGAGCGCCCGGTCATTTCAAAAGAACGACAAATTCAGCAGTCCAACACACTTAGATCGATATTAGCTCGCATCTTTGCTGCAGTTCTGATCTCACTCCCACTGACGACAATCGGGCAGTCTGCGCGGCAAAAATGCAATCTGGTGCTCCGGCAAACATTCCTGTTCCCCAGCAGCCACTCAGAAAAATGTTCTCACGCCCCTGCGAAGCACCAGGGCACATCATCGCCTGCCATCCGCGGGCAGCTTCGCGGTGCATTCCAGCTGGCTGACCACATCCGGAAAGACTGCACAGTCTTCTATCGACTCTGGCGGCGGCCGGGCGGGTGGGCCAACTGGCGCTGCTGCACTCCCAGCAGCAGCCTCGCGGCCGGTCAAATCGGAAATTTCCGCAATTTCTTCGCCGCTCTCGCACGCACCCTCGGGGCATCCGAGAGTTTCACTGTCTGTGCACCCGCAGACCTCGTCGCGCACGCCATCCCCGGCGCCGATGCCAGGGTCTGCTTCGTTGGCGAGGAGGACCTCTACGCCCGGCTTGTTCCCAAAGAAGGCGCAGAATTCAATGGCGGGGCTTCCGTCGTCGCTCACATCATTAACGTCCAGGTTTGCCTGAACGCAGCAGGGAGCACACTGATGCGAGCAACATGTACAGTGAAAACGCGCCCTTCAAATGGTGCACAGACCCTGTGGAATCATGAGCGCAATTTGCAGCGGGTATGCCATAAACAGTGACTGCGTTCGCAAGATCGAATCGTGCGCACTTGTCGGCATTCGCATCCTTCTACAAGGAAGCATAAAGCGACCACAAACTGCTGAATAAGCCCCGAGCGTTCCCGTTAACAGGCAGTACCTGGAAGGAAACGTCTGTACATTTACAAACAGCGAATTGTTTCTGCTGCTCTTTCTCCTATACTTCCTGTCAGCAGAGTGTTTCCTATGTTTCCCTCCTCTTGCCTGCTTTTCCTACGTACGTAACTCGGTAGGGCAGTGGCCAGGAAATGAAGTTCAACAACCCTGCAGAGGACGACTCACCACAGAAAGCCATGAGCTAATCTAAAAGGCAATCAGAAAACACATACAGGAATGACGCACACCACAGATAGCAGATGACCCCCACCCTTTTAAGCTGGAGAGTTGCCAGTTTTGCTCTTTTGTGACAGAACACCCATTTCGTACACAGACAAGAATGCCTTCGAGTTCCTGCAATAGCCACTGTTGTCAGTTGCCTACCTTTTCCATCAAAATCTGGAGCACCCCTTCCGTGCCAATATCGCTGCAAGCATCCATGAGTATTGTAATGCCTCCATCCGCCTTCAGCACTGGATTCGCGCCGCTGTCAAGCAACTCGTCCACCATGGCCTCGTGGCCCATCAAGGCCGCCAACGTGATTGGCGGGCGGCCTGTTGCGCTCCGCTCATTGACACCGGCACCCGCATCAATCAGCAGATTCACAATTTCGAGGTGGTCCTGCCGGGAGCACAAGTTCCTTTCGTTGGTGAACCATGATGGAAAACCACCGCGATGTGAGAACCATTGTGTTACAAAACTCGGCAACAAACGATCACAAAATGTTTTTAACATACGTGCAATGCCCTCCAAAAGATATCACAACAATAGTTGTGTGCAGCATACTGCAATACAGTGTCAAATCAGAAAGCTGCAAGTACTACGAGCACCGCGAGCCTCTATACCCAAATGTTGGCTACATTTACCTCATTCGCTTGTGACTGAGGTAAGCGAATTTTGGTTGATGCATTCCTTTGTCAATTCTGACAACTGTAACATCCCCAGGCACCGGGAAATGATGAAATCTTTTCGTCCATACAGTCAGGCAGGGGTCATCAATGTCTACCGCGCCATGCTGATAGGTATCTGTGTCGAAGAATTCACCAGGAAGCATGTGACCCAGGCGCAACAAAGAGCGAAACAGAAATAGGGCAGAAAATGCTCACTGTTTCGAATTAAGAAGCAATGACAAATCAGAGAAACTGGTAAAAAGGGCGTTGCCTATCAGTCGGAATCTGAATCTACGTCACATGTTGAACCTGCAGCAACTGTTACAAGAGCTATTTATTCATTATTCCATAAACAGTCACTATAATCACCGTACATTCGCTATACCACGCAGTATTATTGGATAAAGTACTGGAACATCTCTCCAGCCGCCTAAATCGGTGCTTTACCAGTGTTGCAGCAAGAATGCAATACCCACTCAGTTATCAACCTACCCCAGGCATGGGTTGCCAGATTAGGGGCACTGTGCATCAATGCAGGGGCAACAGATTTTCCCATCTGGAAAGTTCCCTGTCAACCTCACCTGTCTCGCAGCAAAATGGAGGGGGGTAAACCCCACAACCTCCTTCGCGTCCACATCCGACATGGCGGGAATCAGCAGCTCAGCAACCCCAACATGCCCCACGAAGGCTGCGACATGGAGGGCGGTGGCGCCCGTCATGGGGTTTTGAGCGTCCGGGTCCGCGCCAGCCTCCAGCAGGATCTCAGTGATCACTTCGAGTCCATCCGTCGCCGCCAAAATTAGTGGCGTGTCCCCATTTTCGGCCTCTGCATTCACGTCCTCTCCGTTTGCGATCAAATCTCTGAGTTGCTCTGTGTCGTTGGCCTTTATCGCGGTTTCGATCGGCGTCTGCAAAACGAGCGAATACGCAACTCAGTATTGAAGAAGGTGCCGCATTGAATTTGTACGAAGCACCGGCGCTGTCGTCAGAATTTGCAAGTGACTGCTTTCTCATGCCAAACATCAACAGACAAAATGTGCGCTTCAGCAAAGCAACGAAAATGCAATGAAGGTTTGTGGTTCCTTCCCAAGGGGAACGCAGTCTACTGCCGGTATTGGCAATCACCAGTTGCATTGCATCCCTGTTGGGAACTGTGTTGCCTGCTGAGCACCCTTTGAGGCAAATATTCTAAAAGCAACATCCTGCAAAGTACTAAGGCTCGTTTAAGGTTTGTTCGATATGCATAGATTAACTGCAAATGTACTATTTGAAGAAACCTCACACTGTTTAAACATGCACGAATACTGCATGAAATGGCAAAGTTTGGCAAGTAGCTCGCAGTAAAACGCATTTCAGTGCAAGTTAGCACATGCAAGCACAAAATCTTGTTCCGAAGTTTCCTGGACACTTTTGCAACCCAAAATTAAGCTCATCGAGGTTGGGTGCCCCAAAACCAATGAGCACTGATCGCGCTGCCCTGATGGCAAATGAGAATCACGCCTCAGACTGTAACGTCCCCGACAAGACATGCATTTTTTACCAAAACAATTACAAACATCGAACACCAGACGTGCTCTGGCATGCAGCAAAATACATCGACATCACATAATTCACACCAATTAGCACCAACCCGTGACACTCCTAACCAGATCAGGTTATTAACAGAATATGGTCACTACTTTGATGACGCCGTGTCTGTTCAAATAACGCCACTGGAATGCGAGACACATTGGCCAGAGCTTGGTACGTCAACTCAATGGTGACAAAATGCGCAATCTGATGCACGGCAACGCAGTGATGCATGACTCGGAAACGGCATCTGCAGCACATACATTGAAGTACAAAGTTGACAATGCAAAACCGCTGCAATGTACAAATTGCAAACAGCGCGACCAGGCAGTCTGGTTGTGAGCTGACCAGTGCATGAAACTCCAAGAAAGGAAATGTCAGCCTGCTTATTGTATCATATCGCCAGGTTGATTAGCAGCACATTCGCTGTTTCTCCAGATACCATCAGAGTAGCGTTTGCATCATCAAGCATGACAACCTCCAGATCAGCACAAGCAATTTTGTCTTCACCATGCTTGGCACGTGCAGTTCCAAGACTGCCATGGCGTCAGACTTTCCGGCGATGAGCACGCTGACTGCAACTGTGCATTCAACGCCAAAGTGGCACTAAAACACAACGGAAACACGCTGCTGGCGACCTTGCTGTGAAGACTGCGCCTGCGCTGTGTTCGTGTGAGAGGACCTTTCATGCTCACCATGTTGGAATCATCGGGGGAATCAGGAGGCGCATTTGAAGTTTCGGGTGGAGGGGGCGTCGTTGCCGTACGTGGGGGTGGCAGCGGTGGTGCAGAGATTTCTGGAGTTGGTGCAGGCGTGACAGAGGGAGGAGGAGTTGAAGGCAAGGGTGCTGGGGTGGCCATCGGTGGTGGCAACTCGGGGGATGGCGCAGATGGCGTCGAGGGCAGCATGAGTTTGTTAAGGGGTGACGTTGGAGAGGGTGGCGGCGGCGAGGGGTTTGCCTGCCACGGCACACAAAACAAGGGATGACATTGTTGCATCGAGGATAGATTATAAATGGTTCATTCTTGTCAGCAGCAACAGCGACAATAAACGATTGGTAATCGATCAGTTGCTGGCATCACTCCTGCTCGCACTAATGCTATTAAATGGCGAAGCGTATTCTGCATCGCAAGTCCATTCCCGCACGTTGCGAACGCGGAAACGTTATGGCGAAGGAATGCACATCTACGCCATGGGGTCTGACCCCTGGCACTGGAAATGGAGCACACACAAATTAGCTTGCTAGTTCCTGTGTTGCATGTACGCTGAAATCGACAAACAAAAACCAGTGGCAGGTTGACTGATTTGACGGTGGCGACACCATTGGAATTTGGCATGTCCCCAAAATATGCACACCGTTGTCTAAACGTGTCATCCCGGTTTGCTTGGGGTCACATTCGAAACAAAGTACCAGTGAATGTCCCTTGTGATGCATCAAGGCACCCTTAAACCTTGACAATCCCCAGATATGCTAAGCAATTCGGTATAAAATAATGCAACGTGCCACCGAAATACAGTCTGTCGAGATCATGACCTTGACATCTACAGCGCACGCACAAAAACGAGCTGTGCACCCAACAGGCCAAAAGCACATGGACATCTCGACAGACACAAACGAAATCATGCCATGATATGCCCCAGCATTGGCAACACACTTACCCCTGCTGCTCCAATGCTGGCCGTTATTGTGCTGTCAATCCAATCACGGAACTTGCTTATGCGGGTATAGACGCCAGGCTTCTTTGCCTCGCCACATTCGGATCCCGTTTCCCCAAACGATGTGATTCCCACAAGAATGTCTCCATTCGGACTGCCAGCTTTCACGGACCCTCCTGGCGCAAATGCCACGAGGAGGGGGGCACCATCATCGGCTGTGAGCCAATCAGCTTGCGTCTTAGAAGCGAACAACTGCCATTCAGAACAGTACATGCTGAAGCAGGCTACAACCAAGCATGTGTCCGCCGACTGGTGGTGAAATCTGGTGCATTCATTGTAGACTGGCGTTTGCGACTGCCAATAGAACATTTTATGTGGCTTTGCATTGCCGTCGCAGTGTTTTAATCGTTGGCAATGCAATTGCAGGGGAATGCCGGAATTGAGCTTCTTTGATTGGAACCCGTTCACAGCCAATTGATTCCAAAATGTTGTTATCAGGTGTCAGAAATATGTTAAAATATAAACATATGGCTGCTTGATAATGTAGCAATCAAAACCAATTTGATCCCCTGCGGGCGTTTGGTCAGAGAAGAACACTAATGTAACAAAGGCTCTCATTCCCATGGGACCGCCTGGATGAGATCCGCAAAATCTGCAAACCTATCACAAAGTGCTGGAATGCAGCCAGTACTCCACGTTAAATCCATGGCTACTGAGTGCCAGCGCCTACTCATTCCTGGATTCTAAATTCATCCCAAGTCTCTGGAGGTACTCTCAAAGGTCATCAGGCTCTGGCCTCCATCCCGATGCAGAACAGCACTCTTCATCACAAATCATTACTCCATGGCTTTGCATACACTGGTAGACAACAGTAATTCTGGAAAACTAGCCATTTGTTCGTGGCATCCTCATCCGAGAAGGATGCGCCATGGCTTCAAAATCATGAGTTGCCAATATAGACCAGCTTTGCAATTATCACCCCATCACGGAAGCTTTGGTCTTCAGCGGAACTCATTCCAAAGCTGCGCCCATGAGTTTGGAGGATGCTGTCGAAGCGTGGGGTCAATCCGTTAAGTATTGAGCATTGGCGGTAATTTGTACCAGGGGTCTATTAACTGTTAAGCCTGAAAATTTCGGGTCAAGAATGACCAAAATTTGCCTTTCGCCCAATGCTGAAACGGGTCGTACCTCATTTTGAAAATTGTGAGCTAACGGTTTTGGACCAAACTTTCCGATTTTGAGCTCCTTTTGTGATTTCGGCGTCGATTTTGTAATGACATCTGTCTCTCAAATAGAAGACAACTAATTCCCGACGAAGTAAGAACATTGTGAATTGAGCATGCACATTTTGACAGCATTGTAAAATGTCGACCCAGCTGCAATCGACACCGAGCTGGTGTAAGCGCATCTTCGGCATGTTTTCAGACCATGGCGCAAGGCACTTCAAGCAATGTACAGTTGGGTCGCATTTTTTGGCTTGTATTAATGTTTGCATTCATTTATTCAAGAACTGAAATATTTACATTAATATTCGACACGCTACAACCATATGCATTTGTGTCGATTGTTCTACATTTGACCGCTAATTGCGGTCCTACAATTCCTCTGCACCGCTCATCTGGAACCCGACGAATGTGTACCGTGGTACACAATATGCTATTACAATACGTCGGAAAGAAATGTCGCACATCCAGCGTATAACTATTCACTGTCTGCATATCCAGGATACGATGCCCATATCATATTAGATATCCATGATCTGGGGGGTGACGCAGGAACTATCCGACATCCAGGATATGGGAATTCTCACTGGTGTGCTATACTACACGCCTCCTTGGAATGCAAAAGGTCACATATCGAAACGATGCAAAAGAACAGCGCGCTGACAGCAGCACGTTGTTCTGCCCAATCTGAGTGTCTCACGGCATGGGCTGACCGTGAGTCATGTCTTACCTCCACAGCCGGGCTGCACATTTCCAAAGCCCGCCGCACACAGCATGGATTCAGTGAAGATGCTGCCCCACACACCGTCTTTTGCGCATTCGTCACTTCCTATCAGCAAGACGTCCGTATCTTGACGAAGTTTGTCGGCCAACTTGCCATTCAAGTTCTCATTCCACCCAAGGGCCACCAACCGCTGGCCCGCAGCCAATTCTGAACTGGATGTGGTTACATATGTGATAGGCCTGGCTTTGGATGGCGGGTCCAGTTTCAGCAGCGCAATATCGTTTCCGTCTGTGCTGTTTCCATTCCACATCGGATGAGACACTGCGAGCACGATGGAGGCGACCTGCGTGCAAGAAAATGTGACCGCTTTAGTTGACGGTCAACGCACTTCCTCACAAATGCCGTTATCCCTCAATGCCACATTTGACACGGCAACGTGGTGCCCTTGAACGTCGTGGTTGACAACGGGCGTGTGTGCATGCAAGAATGCTTCTGTGTCCCGCATCCCATGTGCTGTTCCGCGCAAACACTCTTGCGCATGTCTGCACAGAGGTGACAAGGACAGGACGCGACTCGCCATTTTCGCCAAAATGAGTTTCTGCTGACATTTACAAAGAAACAAACGAGAGGAGGGTTTATTGGGACGAAATCGGCACATTGATTGTACATATGTCATTTATTGCTCCACAAAGGCAGCTGGATACCCACATAAGAAGGAAATACTCAACTCACAGATCAGTGTCTGCTTGCATGCAAGACCCTTGCTCGCAACCTGATATTTTTGCTGTCAGATGTCATACCTACGAGCCAAGAATATACATAACATTCATCTAGCCAAATCTTGAAATCATATTTTGATTCACATCCTGAAACCCTTTCAAGATTTGTCATCTTTGCCCCAGCTACCTTTTTATTGTTCTTCCTTTTGACACTCTCGCTCAATTTGCAGCCTCCAACGACAGCAACGCCCTGCAGGGCGTTGTCGTCATTTATGCAGTGAGCGGCGGTCAGCACCCACGAAGGGTCGATCAACACACCGCTGCAGCGGTGTTCGCTTTCATGGTCGCGTATTGACACAATATAAGGATGCCGGTTGCAGCTGGCCTCCTTGCCCTGGTGGCAGGTTGGAAAACAAGGTCAAAGCTTCCACACGACAATCCTTAAGAGTACTCAATTCCTGCATCGCATGACATTTCAGCACACGCCATTCTGGGTGCATACATGCACATGTGTAAGTGAATATCTATGCATGTACCTCGATGCGTACAATCTGGATGGGCTTCGTGTGTTCATTTATCGCAGGCAGTTATGAGCAAACAATAACACCGATTCTTCCTTCGAGTGCATCATCGCTCATGACGCTCAATTTATCGACTTCTTCGTCAGATCAAGAAAGTGAAGAGGACAAAACAGCTGCTACGAACGGTGACCACATTGCACGTCAATTCTTTACAGAAGCGACTATTTTCAGAAGAACCCAATCAGGGCACAAGTGCATTGTGGCAACCATTACTTTGCAAGCAACCAACAACGGTAAATACAGTGAGCATAATGGTTAGTAATAGCAATAATACCACTACTAAGAATAGGAGTACAGTAGCAATAGCAGCGAAAACAATAAGAACATGTCTGTCCCTGTGTCTGCAAACGCTCCTTCTCAATTGACCAATAATTGCCAACCGAGAACTTTTTTATTCCTTTCCCGGATTGTGAGCTTAACAAAGAACTGTTGTTGTTGTACCAAGAAGGGGATGACAGATGTTGTCCCACCACCGCTTTACAGAAATCGTTTCACCTCTGCAACCTCAGCAAGGCGCTTCAAATGTAAATGCACGCATCACACTGTTCCACACAATCGCTTTGACAGCAGGGCGTTTCCGATGCTCATCACGCCGCTGTCAGTCTGTCCTTGCAACAGAGACAATTTGCAGTCTTGTGCGGTGTCTCCTGTGGCCACGACTGCCAAATAGAAATTGAAACACACATCCACATTTGTTTCTTACCACGGGCTTCATCGTTTTGTTCCCGTCCTGCAGCAAATTCCTTTGTGCATGGTGGCTGATGCCCAAGAACACATCCCTGGTACCTGCCATCACAGCGCTCCCAAAACCGTCAACCCAGTACTTTGCTGTTCCTGTATGGAAGTCAAGGCGTGCGCCAAAACATAACCAACCGTAGGCTAAAGCGACTCGGGGCATGACGGTCGACTTGACACAAGCTTTGCAAATTCCGATAACACTCCTGGATTTAATGTGGTGCGTGTATACACAGGCCTATGTCCCAAACCATGGAATGCCAGATGGCCTGCCAGACGTAATTTCTGATGCTCGTGGTCATGTCAGGCCCGCCCAGAGTTCCAAGTGCGTTGCTGGTGCTCGTTAGCACAAGGTGGTTTGCACAGCGAGCAATGAGCTGCGCACACATGTGGGAATTGGATGGCCAAAATAGGGGGCGTTTTCTGACACTGCAAAAGCCTGTTTAGCAAACGTGAAAACCGAAGAGCCCAGGCTCAGTATAGGTAAGGGGGGTTAAGAAGGCACTGCTTCCCACCTCGCTACATACCCCCAAAAAATCTCGTCATCCAACCTCCATCCACAATGACAGCAGCTTGGCGAAGCAGGTTTTCAGGCTTGCGATGTGTGGCATCGCAGTTGTGTAAGTGAGCATTTGTACAGGATCAAACAGTTTTAGAAGTGGCTTCTGCACAGGAAAGGATGTTCAACAACAATAGCATCACGTGACTAGCTCTGTCGAAATTGGTGTCCGTGTGCCCCCCAACTGCCTTTCCAATATTCTCACTCTCATCAGAATACTATGTGTATGAACTGATATAGTTCATGGGAGGTCATGGGAGGCACTTTGGCAATTCTGGCACATTTAGTACCAGACAGAATCTACGGGGCGGGTCACGACCAATGGCAATAAGCAATTGCTGGTTGGCACGGAAATCGATGCAAGCCAAAACAGAATAGCAGACCACCTGTATCCCATTCCTCAAATGCCACCATATCCCATTTCACTGTCGATAGATAGATATGAGATGTCTGTGTTACATCGGCACTTACAGATCATGGCGGGACGTTGGCAATGAAGAGGCATCTGCTGGCAGTTCAGAGGATGAAAACCGGGGGGAAATGGAAGATACAAATCATCAAAAAAGATTTGGAGGTAAGGAAAGTGTCCTCCATTCATGAGCAACAACTCATTTTCAACAGAACCTGTAGCGAGTTATACTTTTAAATACGCTCTGCGTTGTAGTAGCCATCAACATTACTGGGGTCGATTTGAACATTGATGGATGAGTGTGATGGGGGGTGGGATACAGAGCGGATTGGACTTGTTCAAGAGGCAAGGTTGGGGGGTGCTTGAGCTCAGCTTCACTTGATGTTATGTGTCCACGATGTCCACTTGTTTGCACCCTTTCATACATGCAATAAGTGTGTGTGCTGTGTTTGTGCACTGCACACTAGGCAGGAGCACAGGACAGGGGCATCTCTCTCCAAGTTTGCATGCTGGGCATTTTCACAGTGGCACCAATGAAAGTACTGGACAGTCCCAGTATGATACAGTACAGGACAGGATGTGCAGTGCTTGAGTACTGTGCCAGCAACAAGCATGTCTTTTTAACGTGGACATATCATTGGACAGTAAGAGACCCCACAGTGGGGTTCAGAAAGAGTTGAACTCCCCCGATATTGCTTTCAAAACCATGGGCATATCTGGGATATGCACAGTGCAGATGTTAGCATGTGTACAAGAAACAGGGGAGCATGGCCAAACCTCCTAGATGCAGTATGTGGCAATTTTGCAATGTTAGAAATTGGCTGGGATAGGAACGCCACCCAACTCTCAAATTTGATACATCAATTGGAATAAGCAAGTAATCAACTGCAAACGTGTGGAGCGAAAGTGGATTCAGATGGGCACCTGATACAGTGTCATTTACTACAATGCTTCACACACCCTGTCAGAAATCCACTGTGCCACCACAGGAACTTGGAACAGAACACAATGGCCGTCCCCACAGCGCTTTGCCGCTTGCCTCTAAACCCCAATGTACTCCATACATATGCAGCACAATATGAGCATTTTTTGCTGAACATCAGCATTGACTCAACAATCCTTGCAACTCTTCAAGCCAACCGCACAATTGCAAGAAGTACACCCCACACCACACTGCATCAGTGTTCATATGGATGGGTGCCACAGTGCACATGTCAGGACCATGGAAACTTGTCTGGACAGTGTGAGCACATTATGCCCAAGACAGCATCGCTTTGGCTGTTGTCGATTGATTGGTTGGATGTGGCCCTTGCATTTCTTGCCCTTGCCAAGCAAACCAAACAGAGGTTTTGCTACTTCCATAGTGTCTGTTTCACAACATTCCACCTAAAGGTTGCTTATGGCCTGGCAGCGGCGTCATGTGCCTGGTCCATGTCTTAGAGTTGAGTTGGATTGGGAGCTGCAGCATCTCAGGCTTGCAGAGCCAAGTTAGAGATTCAGGGCTGAGCCGAGCAATACAGCATGTTCGTAGGGCCGCAAGGCTGTGTTTGCAAGTGTGTCCCACATCGTCCAGCAGAAACCAGGGACTGATTTGTTGTCTTCTGGGGAAGGGTTTCCATTGCAAGCTTATTGACTATGCGCATGTCAGCATCATCAATGCAACCAAAATGAATACTTACAATGGATGCAGGGCTCAGAAGTGGGATCGCATGGCAACCTGTCTTGGTGTGATCGCTCACACCATCGATCGCATCCCGAGCGGTGAAAGTGCCATGATTCATCAATGCCAACAACAGCCCAGCTCACATTCAGGGAGCAGGAGGGGCCCATGTACACAGTGCCCTACAGCTAGGGCAGCAGTTACAGGGAAGAAAGGAGACAGTTGTGACAGCGTGGACACAGTCGTGACAGAATGAATTGGCACACACTGCAGTACTACATGCATGCTTGCGCAGTCCGGAGGTCAGGCACCCGACGGCAACAACTGAATTTGTCTGTTGGATGGCAGAGAGACGCTGTATTCTGGTAAATACAATCAATATGGGCTTCCACAACCACAGGCGCTGGAGAGCCCCCCATTTACAGCATCGTTGCTGACTTTGTGCCTTCTTGCCCATCCCTTTGTGGCACATGCCAGTGTTGAATGATATGAACTAAAAGTAGAGCGTGACAATTCATTCACCAGCACACACTGCACACATTTCTTCCACGTGCCAGGATTATTCCCTTTCCTCCCATTCTGACAATTTAAGTGAACATACCAAGACGAATATACCATAGAACATACCATGACCAGTGACTCGTATTCACCCTGCAAGGATCAATAATTTTCACCCCCATTCCTCCCCCCCCCCTTCCCCAAAAGTTGAAAAACGAACCTCAAGAAAACACTGTGCGTGGAGCCATGCATGCAATCGCCTTCTGGGCACAGGGGCAGAGGCTTGCTGTCCTTTTTGGCCCGGACCAGCAACACATACAACCTCCACCCCACCCCAGGCACATGCTCTGCCAACTATGGCCCAGAAACCTCCCCTCTTCCCCCCGCCCCCTTCCACCCTCTCCATGTAAGCGGCCCACAATGGAGTGGGGTTTGCCCCATTCCACTTTTTTGCTGGCCCTAGTATCCAAGTGGTTCCCTGGCCCAGGCCCATTTTCCTTGCCGGATTCGCCAGGCACAACACACCCCGCTCATGGCCGCATGCCAGACAAACCATGCAGCGGAGACCCGCGGCCGGGATCCCCGTCGCCCCTCTGCCACGGCGTCGACTGAAACGCGCAGCGCTCCCAGGCGTCAGGGAGGCACCGCCGAACGCGCTGCCAGATACGCGCATCGGCTCACATCGGTCAACGCGAGTCAAAGCGCAACCGACACTCCCAGGCGGCCGCAATAGCACCAGTGTCACTCGTTAAGCCCTCTTCATGCCGAATTCCGACCCGAGGTCCAAAAGCTGTTCCAAAATCTTGTCCAAGGGCACCGGCGCGCGAGCCCCTGCCCCCCCCCCTGACCCTTCATCAGGTCGGAGAGACACATCGAAACAACTCCCTCGCCCAAGAAAAAAACGGACGAAAAGAAAGAACCATCATTGTCACCTTCTTGTGCTGTGGCGAGCTGAACCGAGAGGAAGAGCGCCAAGAGCGCCAGGAGCGCTGGCCGTGTGGCGGCGTCGCCGACCGCATGCATCCTCGTTGACCGATTCAGCGGCTTTTGGGCAGCGGTGCAGGGGCGGCTAGGTGGAGGCTGGAGGTGGCTGGCCGCTCCCTTCGTCGTCTTTTCGCGGGCTCTTCGGCGATTCTTGCTCAAGGGCAGCTGCCGGCCAGGGACATCGAGTTTCCCGGGTGGGCGCCGTTTCTCCATAAATTCAGGGCAGGGCCGTCACGTGGGGGGAATTGAGTACATTGGCAGGCTTCGGTGTGGCACGGGCGTGTTTCGGAGTCAAGAGGGGCACGATGCGCAGCACTGGCAACGTGTTCTTGACGCGATGTCACGGCACGAAGTTGGTGGGCACCCGATTAGTGGTACAACGCACGACGACAACAAGGGTTGCACGCCGCCTTGGCTTGATTGGCTTGAACCCTGGATGGTTGTCGCCCAAACTTGAGTAAGCTTGTGGCGAGCTATTTGAATGGCTTGCAGCCCTCGGCAAGGTCTTGCAACGTTCACAATGTGTCGTATAGCCACAGTAGGAAATGCTATTGTCGGTTGTCGGCATTGGCAATAAAACCATGTGGTGCTTTTGATGTACGCTGAAATGGTCTTGCTGACGCGGCAACAAGGCCACATCAATGTACATCAATATCGCCTGCGACAATTCTTGCAATTGAAGAAATTTGAATGAATTAAATGTTGTCAAGTTTTGGCTGAATGCCAAAATACGGTGTCACATCCAAGAAGAGGTTGCCCCCTGCGTCCCGCCACACCACGTGAGCTGCATCACTTGAAAGCTAGGCTGTGGAGGTTGTCCACAGGAAATGGTGATGCCGAAGATTCCCCCGGCCATGCCGTCAAAGCATTTCAAGAACACAACATTGCAGCAGGATGTGCACGTGTTGCGAAATGGCGGTGATGAAAGCCGGTGCTATCTCCTGACCAGCAGTGAGTATATGACATGGGCCTAATGGCGCGCTTCAGGACGCCCCAAAAGCCCGCTACATCCGCAGATCCATCAATACTTCCCCAGATCATCTATGACGCTGACGTTTTAGATGTCGTGCGGGAAGAGATGGCGCCCCAACAGGAGCTGTGTATTGAGATGAAAAGGTGCATTCACTAGAGAGATGACACAGTCCTGACACGGTCTGGTGTGCTTTCGGCAAATGTGGTCCCAAAACCACGCAGTTAATACACACATTGACATAGTTTCAACAGTGTACCCTGGGAAACCGTGTTGTCTACACAGATTTTTGAGGGGACACAATTGAAACTGTGTCAATGCGTGTACTAACTGCGTGGTTTTGGGACCACATTTGCCGAAAGCACACAGTTAGATTTTGAGCAGACCGTGTCAGGACTGTGTCATCTGGCCTGTTTTTTCCTAGTGAATGAGGCCACAAAAGCGGTCAGCAGCCTCAATCCACGGATGAACACGCGTACATTATCTACAAGCACGGCAGCGACCATTTGGCACAGAAGGCGAGTGTACACTAGCTGATTGCATTTGCATGGCATTGAGGATGTGATTTGATGCAAACTACCCAGAAACACATCGCTTTCATCATAATTCAACGGCAATTTTATTCAGGAAGATGTGCTTTTTTCTCATGTACATATTTTAGGTATATCGCCACTTGTGAGCCTGATGCATCCCCATCAGTCGTGCATCACCACAAAACTGCACTGCCGATGCCCATTTGATACTACACGAAGTATTGTTTGTTTTTTTATTCCTTACATGGATGCATCGACCTGATGTCACAGCATCGATCAATGTAGCGTACCAACCAGTGTGCGAGGGGCACGTCCGGGCCCAACTATATAACAGAAAACACGCCTCTAATGGCGGCCACAACTGCCACCGAACCCCTACACGAAGCATTGGTCCTAGTTAGTCGCATTGAGTCTTCTGGCCGAACATTGGCATCATAGGCCCTGCTGGGCGCAGCATTCTTTGCAGAAAAACGTGAGCTTGGCCCACCGCGCTCCAGCCACTCCAGCACAACTGGCACTCTGCGGATTGAGATATGTTCCTCAGAGGTGCTCGTCAGGTGCCGGTACAATTGTAGGGGTTCAATCTATTTGTTTTCCAGCAATGAACGTTGGCGTCAGTTGCGCTTGGCAAGAAAGGCGGCAGGACTCAGCTGACAACACTGTCAGATGCGAACGCAGCTGCGCACCGAGAGCCTCAGTACGTACTGTACATACTGTAGTATATACTGTAGTACATATACTATAGTACATAGTGTAGTATACTACAGGTGCCGTCACAATGAGCAGTGTCAGGAGTTGATTGGGACATTTGAGAACAGATGCGCGCAGCGGTGGAGAGACTACTTCTAAAAAACAGGTTGCTGACATCAGCAACCTTGTCGACAAGGCACGGAAAAGCGGTCACATTGTAGTTTAGGGAAGCCGAGCTGTGTTGAAGTGGAATTGATAGGAGCACTGAAGTATTCATGGAATGTACCTTGTTGCTGTCTCGACAGGAACAACCCTCATTGCTAACCCGGGTTTAGCTCGCCTGCCCACTTGCGGTGGGCACAGTGCGAAGCCCGGACGAGCGCTTCACGCAAGGCCACATCAGTGATGATGAAGCTCATCACAGTGGGCCTTTACGTTGCGCTACTTTTCACTGCGTGCTGCGTTGCATTACGTCACGTTGCGCGTTTGGGTTATGCTGCGCCATGTTCGCGCCAGCGCCGGCGACATCCGTCCTGTGAGTCCGACAGCAGCTCGCCCCGACAAACAGCGTCGCCCACAAACTCTCCTTTTCCTCTCATATTCTTGATATCCATCCGAGACCAGGGCGGCAACGGGCTGTGGGGTGGCGGCAGCGCCCAGGATGTCCCCAGCGCAAAGCCCGCCCCCAACCACCAGTCGCTCTGCGAAGGTGGCGTGGAGGTTCTCCGGGGTGGCAGGCCCGTATCATCCTTCAGCTTCCAAGCCACTAGGCACCAGCGACCAGCCGGAAACCTTGAGCCGCGACCCCTTTAGGATGACAAGGGCACTCTCCGGCGGCTTGGGCATCCCAGCGGCTGTGCCGTGGGGTCTCCTGTTGCTCTGTCTGTTTGAGCCAGATGGTGGGTGGGAAGCTTCGGTTCTATGCTGTTATCCCACGTTTTTTGCCTGGCCCTTGTCCTGTGCCAGACAAAGCCCTCTCTCGAGGTATGGAGTCCCAAACTTTGCATTGGGTGCATGATGCTGCGCTTGGTGCCATTAGGTCAATTCTTTTTCGTTCTGAGTTCCAGGGACTTCAACAATCTGTACCTGCCAGGGGTATGACAGCCAAAGTCACCCAAACACCAGGCATTCTGAAGCATGTGCGATTGGATGCTGGCCTGTTGGACAAGGAGGTCTGCATAGCATGCTGATGGACATGCAATGTTACTGTGCATCTTTAGGTAGGAAAGTTGCACAACAGTCTGTTTGCCACAATGCAGCCGACATAATCGGAGAAAAAATAGATCAAGGGCAAGATGGTCATTGAGTGTTTCAACCCCGCTACGGCAAATATACTCCCTCTTGACTTTCCTCAACATATTCCTAGTACATCCAGTGGTGAAGCAATCATGCGCCTGGATTCAGGCAAGCTTTTAGCACAAGTCTTGTACTGCTGTGTGAGGTTTTCTGCTGCAGGCAATGCTTGCTGGGTGGGCTGGTTTGATGATTGCTGCATATTTCACTCGCGCAGTGTGTTGCACACTTTGGTTTGACAGGATGGTTTATCAGACGGGGGGGACTATATGTACAGCCCCAAGACTGTTCCGTGCATTGCCGAAAGGCGATGCGGTAAATTTCTAATTCCAACAGAAACAACAAGAACAAAAAAGCGTGGCAAATAAAGAAAATATCACATTGGAGACAAGAAGAAACTGCCTGACCATTGATGGGTGGAAGTAACTGGAATGTACATTTGATGCACACTTCCAACAGTTGCGCAAAAAACCGCCATTGAAATCTTGTAAGATGTACTTGAAGACTATTGGAGAAGTGTTGAATGATATTTGGTCCAGAGCAATTGTGTTCTGCCAGCTGATACAGGCCACAGCCTGCCGCTTAAGGGTCTTGTTGTGTTACAGATCTGGGTCAATTACAGGGGGTTTGAATGGGTGTCTTTGACAAATGGATAAACCATGACCCCCCAGATCCTCTTTGCAGTTGATTGCCATCTCAACAGTGACACATGTCGGGATCCCATGTCAGAGCATTGCGCATGATGATAAATTTGGTGCATCAATCCTATCTGACTGGATTTGTTGGCTTCCGTCGAGGCTGTTGCCTGAGCTCTGCATCGAAAGCCATTCTAGACCTTAATTTAGATTTGCACATACTTCGAGTCAGTGTTGTAGCATTAATAAATGAGAATTAGGCGTTAACCACGATGTCTGCAGCAGATGCCCTGCTGGCTCTTATTGGCAGCTCAGTACCAACTGCAGTATTCAGTGTGATCACGATTCTGCTTTGCATTCTTTTGCGCCAATACTATTAATTGCTTTTGCGCTTCACATTATGGGCACCGCCGAAATGGCGACTCCGCCTGGTGCACATGTCCTCAAACGCCGGCACTGCAGGGCAGCCACACATGCATCCAAGACTGCCAAATGCTGAGAGCAGCCCAGACTCTGCCATCGCGATTGAGGCTGTTCGCGCAGCGGTGGGGGCGATGCACAGTTGGTCTTTCGTGCGGCGTGTTCACCCAATGGAAGTGCGGCGAACCAATCCTTTTTGAAGCAACCAGGGCATCGCTTGTTCGGCTCCTCCATAGTTTGTTGGCACCATAGCGTTTCTGCTGTTGCTCCTAAAGATACCAAACGTTGCTTTATGAAACGGAAGTTTTGAATACAATACGCTATCTGGAGCTGCGATCAACGCCGCCTCACGCAATCGCACCCCGTGCGATCACATTTCATGCATCAGCCCTTGATAACGGGATGCGACAGGCTGGTGCCGCCACCCCGGGGAGATGGGGCGGCTAGCTGTGTGCTGAGGCGGTCTTGAACTTACTACGTAGTATACTGCGATCAGAAGTTAGAGTGTTGGCGCACATTCCAAACTGTTTCGCACATTAAATATACTGATGCACTCGCCCCCTGTGGACAACATGCCGCACGGAGCACGACGCATAGATAGACACAATAGTACTGCACTGCAGGCCACACACCCCGAGGGCAGATGAGGTTGTATATAAGGACGTCTGAGGC